TTTTCCAAAGTAATAAAAGAAATAAAGACAGACGCAAACTTGTGATACCAATTTACAAATACTACATAAGCAAATCATTTAAAAATTATAATGTCCAACCAAGTGTAATCTTACTCCTGAATTTTTTTTTTAATTTTTGTTATTTTCAATGGACAGTGTGCCTTTATTTTTTTTTTAATGTGGTACTAAGGATTGAACCCAGTGCCTCAAACATGCTCTGCCACTGAGCTACAGCCCCAGCCCCTACTCCTAAAGATTTTAGTGAAAGCAAAATGAAGACTGCAAAGAACTGAAATTTTTCATAACCTACTGTGTAAAAGAATATATTTTATCCATATGTTCAGCAAAGATGGGGTACCACTGTTAGGGGCACATGGAGCAGACCTCCCCAATTCCTGCTGAGGGCAGCGCTGTAGTGAGGAAGATGCAGTCTTACCACAGTGCACATGTGAACACACAAATGCCTGCTCTCACACACATACAGAAATAGGCCCGGGATTTCAATGGTCACCCTCACATATCGAATTTGCATACACACAGGGACTGTACCTAGAAGACATATTCCTAGGTTAGGACCACAGGTGCGTAGATTTTAAAAGTTGACAGGCATGGGGGCTGGTAGTGTGGCTCAGTGGTAGAATCCTTGCCTAGCATGTGTGAGGCCCTGAGTCTGATCCCCAGCACCACTAAAAACAAAAAGAACAAACAAAAAAGGTTGGCAGCCATTGCCCACTTGCCCTCCAAAAAGATTATATCAAATGACACTCCCAGCTCCTCACCAGCCAGCTCCCTGTCATAGTTGCACTTCCTCACCAGCCCGAACTCCAAGGACCAATGTTTTAATCCCTCCCTTGCACACACCCTCCCCAACCTCCCTTACTTTGCTCCTGTTTCCTTCAATACTTATTTGACAAATGTTCAGCTTTCCTTTAGCCTAACTCCACACCTACTCCAAGCCTGTGTCTACGCAGCTAAATGTGCCTAGAAAAACGAACAAAATCTTCACTTTAAATATGTGACCAAACTCTGAAGAGACACTAAGAACTTCACAGCAACTGGCTACACCTCCCCAGAGAATTCACCATCTTAGTCTCCAAGATGACCATTCCTCCCACTCTCTCCCCAGACCTCCAACACGCCTCCCTTCCGCATTCACTGGCTACCCATCTACCTCCCTCAGTACCTGTCACTCTTCCTGCTTTCCCATGACAATGCACACACCACCCCCAGGCCTGCACTGCCATTCTAGTCCTGTGCTCTCACAGTTACCCCTCTGGAAATTCTCACACTGGGCTCTCCAGCCTGACCCTTGTTGTCATATATCCACCTGATAACCTGATTTCTCTACTTGGATGACCTGTAAGTATCTCAAACCTGAAGTGCCCCAAGCAAGGTTCATTCCCTACTACCCTCCCCCATGCCCTGTCTTCACAGCTCAGTAAGTGGCACTAATGCCACCATCCTTCACCCTACAGCTTGAACCCACACCCTGAGGTTATCCTTGAAACATTTCCAGTCTATCAGCAATATTTTTTTTTTCTTTTTTGGTGGTGGTGGCCTTGCACATTCTAGGCAAGTGCTCTACCACTGAGTGACACCCACAGTTCTATCAGCAAGTCTTGATTACTCCACCTTCAAAGGATGTGAGGAATCCACATCTCTTTCCACCTCCACTGCTTCCTCCAGTCTCTAGTTGTCTCTTGTATGTAGTTTGCTTGCTTCCACTCCTGCCCTCCTACCACCTTTTCTCAGAACAGCCAAATATGATTTGTTTAGAACATAAGCCAAATGATGACATTTCTCTGCTTGAAATAGTCTAGCAGCTTTCTTCTACAGAACAAAATTCAAACTCTTCACCAGGCCACAAGGCCCCAGAGCTCTTTCTTCTCCTCTCTCTGTCTACTCCAGAACACTAGCTTTCTGGCTCCTGCTTAAGCCAAGATCATCCTGCTTCAGGAACTTTGTACTTGCTGTCCTCTCCATCTGGAATGATCTTCCCTTGGATCCTCATACACTAAGCTCCTTTGCATTACTCAGGCATCACACATCTCCACCTGGAGAGACAACTTCAGACTATTCTATCTCAAAAAGGGTCTCCCCCTTCACCTTCTATTCCAATCTCCCACATAATTCTTCTTATGTCACTTATGAGGTGATATTGCATTATCTACTTATTATCTATCTTCCCCACTGAAATATAAGCCACATGAGCTTAGAAGAATGCCCAGCACAGAGAAAAAGATGCTTAACAAATATTTGGTAAATCAATGAGTATTATTTTTTTAAATTAATTTTTTTAAAAATTTACCTGCATATACAACTGTCACATTGTGAGTAAATTATACCTACAGAGAAGACTAAAAGAAAATGGAAAAAATAAAAGTAGTTACGATGGGAAATCTTTTTTTTTTAAATTTATACAATTCTATTTTAACATTATGTTGTTGCTAGAAATAAAAAGACAGTGGCTTTTCCAAATGATGAATGAGGATCTGTCAGTGCCAGGAAGTTACTACCCTACTCATGGGTTGTAAGCAGGAGCCAAGCAGCTCCTGGTGTGGGGAGCTGGCCTGGGAATATGAAGGGGCCTTGGTGCTCTCCTGTTGAACACAACATCAATAGCAGACAGAGCCACTCTGCAACCATGATGGATCAAAAATAGACCATTCTGGGGGCCGGGGTCATGGTTCAATGGTAGAGCGCTTGCCTAGCATGTGTGAGGCACTGGGTTCGATCCCTGGCATCACATAAAAATAAACAAAATAAAGGTATTGTGTCCATCTACAACTAAAAATAAAAAATAAATAGTCCATTCTGTAATGACATCTGAACACAGACAAAACAGGAATGCTATCCAAGCCACAAAACATGAAACACCCCCCTTTCCCAGCTAATGAGGAACTACTGCTTCTTTTCCAGTTTTAGCTTTGGCCCCACCTTAGTCTGTTGTCCCATAGGTAAGGTTAAAATACTGAATCATAGAATTGTCTCTTTCCAGGCAGCATCCAATGCAGAGCAAAGTCCTGATTCCTTCAGCACTCTCCAAAAATCACTTAGCACAAGCCCAAATCCCGTCACAAGTCTGCAACACACTGTCTTCCTGAGATGCCCACAGTTCCCTATAGAGTGTGCTCTCCCTTGCTGCAATGAGCAATAAAGCCAACTTGTTCAACTAGACATGTGCTCCTGGTTGTCTTTGGCTGGACTGCCGTGACAGTTGTCATGACATCAGTGCCATTACAGGAAAAGTCACAGCAGACTGCTGGAAAATTGACCCAGGATATAATGTCAGAGCTGGTTCTCTGAATACATTCTCTGACACCAGCTGATTTTCTTAGTATCTAGGTCTTCTGTTTCCTAAAAGCTGAGTGAAGGTGGGGGCGCCTAGTTAATGAAATGTCCCAGTGAATAATATTAGTTAATCGGGATGCCCTGCAAGCTTCCCTTCCCCCATTTCTGACAGTGGTCCAGAGTGCAAGGTTGGAGTGGTGCTGGAGGACTGACTCATGGGCAGGGCCTGAGGCAACACCACTCAAGTACTTTAAGCCACATGTTCAAGCCCAATAAATTAGCCCGGGCTTAAAGAAGTCAAGCTGTACACATGTAAGAATTTTAATAAGCTTGGAAAATGCTACCTAGAGCTTATACACAAGCTTACTGTACCAATGGGATTCCTTGCCACCAGCCACAGAGTGCTAAGCCCCTGACAAGAGCTGTCGAGCACGTGGGGCAGCAGGGACAGGGAGCCTGCTTGGTCCAGGTTTCCTCAGGAGTTGAGGACTCAGAGCAGATGGCTGGCAGCCAGATGGATGGAGAACAGAATAGGGCAGGCAGCTCGGTGGAGCCAACGGCATTTACTAGGAAAACATGCCAAGGGTTTCTTTGGTGGAAATCTGGTCCTCACACACCCTTCTAGAAACTAGCAAACACTACAATCAATGTCTGCATTTATCAAATGCCTGTTTGTACCAAGAACTGTGCTAGGTACAATAGAGAGTTATTTAAACAAACACGGTCTCTGACTTCTAGTTGCTGACACCTAATATAAATAAAAACAATAAATCTGTCCAAAGGATTACCAAACTAACTGAACAAACACAAAATAGTCAAAAGCATTTACCTTATATAAATGCAGCAGAGTAATAATTGAAGGGTAAGTCATGGGAGATGACTCTCTAAACAGGGTGGGGCCTAAATGGAACAGTTACCTTGTTGAGTCTCCAAGAGGGAGGTCAGGTTTTAAGAAAAGCTTCAAGGATTGGCTACTGGGCTTGAGGAAAATGGGCCAATTAGGGAAGAGGGTACAGCTTAGGAGATGACTTAGAGGCAGAAACACAACTACAGGAAGAACCAAAACTGCCCAGGAAAAGGAAAGGTAATCAGTCCAACAAGTGTATGTTTCTCTTTTTGTTTTTTTTTTTTTTAAGAGAGAGAGAGAGAGAATTTTTTATATTTATTTTTCAGTTTTGGGTAGACACAACATCTTTATTTTATTTTTATGTGATGCTGAGGATCAAACCCAGTGCCCCGCGCATGCCAGGGGAGCACATTACCGCTTGAGCCACATCCCCAGCCCAGGTGTATGTTTCTCAATTGGTCTTATTCATGCCCCCTTCTGATAAATATAAAAATTTCACACCCTCTTTTAAGGTTATTTAAAATTCCAAAACTAAATATACTATCCAACACCAAATCACATCAACAGTGGTTTCAGAATTTGATTTTCCAAATAATAGAAATTACCTCTTCCCCCAGAAGAGGTAATTTTTACTTGGCTGGACAGCAACAAATATCAGCAAGGATTCCCTCTAACACTGAATTCTTTTTTTTTTTTTTGGAGGGCAGATACCAGGGATTGAACCCAGGAACACTTACCTACAGAGCCACATTCCCCAGCTCTTAAGAGAGGATGTGCATCCTGGGTCCACATGGTACCAGACAATTAGTAGTAAGCAAAAGAGTCACAGCCTGTGGTGACGCTAACCAGAATTTATAATTACCTGATTAAAATTTTTGAAGGAAAACTCCTTGTAGATGGCATCCCGCTCACTTAATTCCGACCATCCTGCTGCTTTGAGGTCAAGCATAACTTGGTTCCTCTCCTCTGCTGCCAACAAATGGGCATCTGAAGACTACAAAGAGAACACATTTCATATCTGAAAATGTAGAGGTTTATTAAACTCTTTAAATAAACTCATAGCTCTCTACCTTGAGAACAGATGTAGAAAAGTCTCAAGGGCAACAAATTCTAACCAGCTTTCACTTCTTTATTCTCAAAAAACCCAGACAAAAGCAAGGCCAGCTCTATACAAAATAAGTTGCCTCCATAGTATGGCTCTCCCGCCCCTTACTCGTGCCTCAAACTTCACGTTTTGGCAACTCTGGTTTCTTACAGACGCCCCTGAGACTGACCACTGCCACTGGCCTCCAGAGACCGTTTCAGAATTTCAGGAGTTGGGAAACTGAGGTAAGAACACCCACTGAAGGAAATTTTGCAAATCCATTGGCAAGACCAGGTAGAACTCAAAGCTTTGAACTCCTGTCTTAGTGCTCTTCAGGAGGGTCCCCTGTCACCTGGTAGCCTTCACCAACTAGTCATATGGGTTTCATCTATTTTTGATTAATAATCCCTTTCACCTCTGATAAAAACCAATCCCCAGAGGGAAAAACCAATGTACATTTACACAGAATTTGATATAATAACTTATGGGGTCCACAGACCCTCTACTATAAATAAAAAAGACCTTGTCTTAATAGAGTACATTTATGAAATCCTTTTCTCAGAGCACCAGTACGAAAATCTTCCAGGAATGATACTGGCCAAATCATACTGTTATACTGCACTGTGTGCATGCATGAGTATGGAACAATAAATCCCGTAAGTATGTTCAACTCTAATGCACCAATTTAAGAAAACATGGTAAAGGGGCTGGGATTGTGGCTCAGTGGGAGAGTGGTCACCTAGCATGCATGAGGCACTGGGTTCTATCCTCAACACCACATAAATGTAAAATAAAGATATTGTGTCCACCTAAAAATAAAAATAAAAAATAAAAAGACATGTTAAAAAAAAAAAGAAAGAAAAAGAAAAGAAAAGAAAAACTCCCTCCAGAGTTTGTCCAGAGTACTATCCAGTCCAAAGCACAGGGGTGTACAACCTACCTTGCGCCTTCTCCCCCTAGTGATAACATTCACAAATCCAGGTTCTTTGGTAAATGTGCCCACATTTCCTTATGACATTTGCTTTTTAACTTTAGAAACTCTAACCCTTGGGCTGGGGCTGTAGCTCAGTGGCAGAGCACTTGCCTAGCATGTGTGATGCACCGGGTTCGATCCTCAGCACCACATAAAAATAAACAAATAAAAAAGGGCATTCTGTCCATCTATAACTACAAAAAAAAAATTTAAAAAAAAAAAACAATCTCTAAACCTTGCCAGGCACAGTGGCACATGCACATAATCCCAGCCACTCAGGAGGTTGAGGCACCCTCAGCAACTTAGTGAGGCCCTAAGCAACTTGGTGAGACCCTGTCTCTAAATAAAATACAAAAAGGTCTGGGGATGTGGCTCAGTAGTTAAGTGTCCTTAGGTTCAATCCATAGTACAAAAAAAAAACAAAAAACTCTAAACCTCATGGCCAGAGAGAAAGTTAGGTTCTCACTCCAGTATAAGTGCCAACCAATATCTTATGCCTCACCTACTTGCAGGGCTACTGTAGGTTCAGGTGAGAGACTGGCACTCAGAAAGTCTGAACACTCATCATCAAAGGACAACTGGGAATTCTCCAGATTCTCTGCCATGAAGCTGCAACTCATGCCCACTTCTAAAATCCTAAAATCCTAAAATCTTTTATCACTGATATTAGTATAGTTAAAACTGTTTTGCCAGGTATGGTGATGCATACCCATAACCCCTGCGACTTGGGAGGCTGAGGCAAGAGTATCAAAAATTTGAGGCCAGCCTCAGCAATTAAGGGAAGCTCTGAATAACTTAGTGAGACTCTGTCTCAAAATAAAAAATAACAATGATTGGGGGGGCTGTGGTTGTGGCTCAGTGGTAGAGCGCTTGCCTAGCACATACGAGGCACTGAGTTCAGTCCTCAGCACCACATAAAAATAAATAAACAAATAAAGGTATTGTTTCCAACTACACTGTGTGCATGCATGAATATGGAACAACAAATATCTAAAATACCTAAAAAAGGCGGGGGGGGGGGGATATAGCTCAGTGGTAAAGCATCCCTGAAGAAGAGGAAAAAAGGAGGTAATGAACAAACTTCCTAGTTTTTCTTCCTTGCTAGATCAGCTACACTTCCCCACAACTAACAAAAGGGGAAAATTAGAATACCTCTTCAACAAAAACATTTGAAGGCCTGTTGCTGAAAAAGCATTTACTATTAAGAGCCAAAAGAGCTATCCATTAGTCTTACACCGAGTTCTGAAATTTTTCACACTAAGGTCTACCACAGGAATTAATCTAAAATTTCTATTGAAGACAGCTATTTTAAGTCAACTCAGAATTTCAAAAAAGAATCAGAATCTGTGTCCACACTGCATAGTAGGTGAAGAAAATTAAATATGCCTTTGTTGCGCAGTAGTCACTTGAAGGCTGTGGAATGCGCACTCTTGCAATGCTTCTCTCTGGTGCCATCCACAACCCCACTGAGATCAGCGGTATGCACTCTGGCTCATCATAGATGTCTGCCCAGCCCAGGAATCATGTCCAGAACTGTGAAATGGAGCCATTTCATCTACATAACACCTATGGCCCTCTTGAGGACATGAGGACACACCCTCAGCAGAACCCTTCCTTGGAGGCCTCGAAATTTTTTAATGGGAGTGTGGGGAGAGAAAAGCACAGGATTTGAAAGAGTAAACTTGACTCAAGGGCTAACTTTGTTACTTTTTACTGTGGGATGCTGAACTTGGCCTCTCTTAATGGGGATATTATAGTATCTACTTGCCAAGATTTTTTCAAAGGTTTAAAGAGAACTTAAATGTGAAGGTACCCAGGAAAGAGCCTGGCATGTGACAGTCACTCCAATCAAATACTTCCTTCCCAGACACCATGATTTTCCGTGGTCATCCTCACCAAGAGCAAAGATATGCCTTAAGACATGTCTAGCTAACAGTAAGCACTCAAGTTGTTCTCGCTTTCGTGGCTATGAAAGCAGAGTGCTTATCTTCCTCCGCCATCCAGCGATTTTAAACTTCTTCTATTAAAGAAATTTGAAACGTGCTCTAACTTGCAACTTGAGGAAATGAAACGGTGTGTTTAATGCAGAACTTTTCCACTAGGTGGTGCTGCATGTTAAAATTTTCCCTCATGTTAATTGACTCCAAAGTATTAATTTCCACAGCAGGAAAACTGAACACCCCGTCGGAAGTAAGAAAAATCAATGTGTCGCAAAAAAAAAAAAAAAAAAAAAAAAAAAAAAAGGCAATTTATTTATTCATAGTTCCTCCAACAACTCAGCGCTAAGACAAACCAGCTCACTACCGAGGGAAACAGGCGACTGCCAGCCGCCCCGGAAGGCCCTGCTCGCCCGGAGCGTACCGTTTGCAGGACCCACCTGCGCCTCTGGTCATTACCACACCGAGTGGCCGTAAGCATTAGTTTTGCAACTAATTTTCATGTTTACTTAAAAAAAAAAAAAAAAAAAAAAAAAACTCGTCCTCTTTGTTTCCGGCTAGGAAGTTCGTAGGCTACGGAGGAATTTTTTAAACCAAAGGCGAAGTGCCACTGCTGGGGACATACTTACTCCGACCCGCGCCGCAGGCAGTTACCAGTTTGCGCCGCGGCGCAGCGTCCGAGTCCGCAGGCCCGAGCCCTCCCGCCCCTCACCCGGCGCCGCGGGACCGCCACGAGCGCTTGGCACTCACCAGGGCCGCCAGACCCGGGCTCCGGCGCCGCAGCGCCGCCAGCAAGGGCCGCGTCGCCCCCAGCGCCCCGAGAACCGCCGCCATGGCGTCCGCCGCAAGCTTCCCGGCGCGCTACTTGCCCGCCGCCCCGGCCGCCTCTCCCCGGAGTCGGCTCCAAGTGGCAGGCAGCGCCGAGCCGCGAGCCCAGCCGCCACGCAGGCCCCGGCGCGCCCCAGAGGCCTGCAGGAGCTGCAACGGCTGCTGACCGGGCTGGGTGCCGGGCGGGCGGACGCGCGCTCTGTCCGCGTGGTCCCCGCCGAGTGCCGGCTGGCCGCGGCAGGGAGCAGCAGGGCGCTAGGTTTGCCGTGCAGCCCCCGACCTCGCCTCGGACCTCGGCCTGCCTGGGACTCGCGCACCGTCCGACCTCGCGGGGCTCCCTTCTGGGGACGCCAGCGATAGAAGGCAAGGGCAAGGGGGCACGAGGGAGCTGCCCCCTAGGTAGTTAGTTCAGTTCTGGGGACAGCGGACCTTAGTGATTCACCTCGAAAGCATGCAAATCAGGCAGCTGTGGGTTCGAATCTATCTGTGGTCAACCGTATCTGTCTTGATAAAGTAGTAAAAGCTGCATCTTTAGCCTCCCCGCGGGCTCAACACCGGAGCCTCTCCAGAGACAGGTGAGGACAGGAAAACTGTCTCGTGTATTGGGAGGTATTCTTTCTTTTATGTATTCCATGTGTGTATTTATTAATATTTTTCTTTTTGAGATGTAATTGACAAACCATCAGGTTCACCCTCTAAAACGTAGTGTTTTTAGCATTAACTTGTATTCGAAATAAGCAAATGAATGACATAAATGGGTTTGGAGAGTTTACAGCAAAAGAATAGATATATACAAAAGATCGATTTAACCGTTGTGAGCCGTCAGTTTTATATCCCACATGGATTTGAAAAAAGTATAAAGCCTTTTGCCTCAAAATGGCCTAAAATTCATGGGCTTCTGGCTTGGCCTGCTTTCTTCCCTTTTGCCCACTTGACAAGACATGGCTATCTGAAAAGCAAAACCCAGGGGAAGACTCAAGCTGGGGGTGCGGGATGGGGGAGGCCTGAACATGTCACTGGCAACAGGCATGTAAGACACTGGCTTCTTTCCAGGGTTCCTGAGACAGACAGACTACAAGTGTAATTAAAGTTTGTATTTCCAATATTTACACTGGGTGTTTACGATCATGAAAAATATTCTTGAAATTTGCTTATTAAAGTGAGAACTGAAAAATGAACTGCTATGTGTGATTTAACAAATTAGTGACTCTTCGTCACTTTCCTTCCTTAACACTTTGTGAAACTGTAGCATCTCAACTCTAGTCAGGCAAACAGCCAAAGAAAGATGGTAAGGGTCAGGGGAGTGATGTCATCTGGTAGGGGCTTTGAATGCTCTGCCTTCACACATAGCTCCCAGATTAATAGGATTTAAGCCCCTTAGCAAAGACAACTGGGTACATCCTTTGCAGTGGTCAACCATGTTTGGCTTGCGAATGTTAGGCTTATCCTGGACTGCTTCCTTTCCTCCTGCTACTTCCCTTTCCTTCCCTCAAAACCAGTGTTTCCTGACAAATCTCTGCAGCTCCTCTGTAGGGAATAGCCTTGCTCCTTATTTCCCTCCAGGGGAACTCCACATAGCTGGTCTTAACTGAGTGTTAGAAGCAAGCCATGGATATGCTGGTCATCCTGGGAGCCCTCCCTCCCCTTCCAGACTAGAATAGCAACCCAGTATATATCACAAGGCATGAAAACGCTTAAATCTTTTATATATAATTACAACACTGGGAATTTGCCCCCAACAAAATTTGTAATTCTTTTATATTCCAAAATGAGACTATATGCAATTATATCCAGCCAAAGAAGACAGGTAAGTATGCTGAATCTATTCAAAGGTCTGTTAAGATTAAGAAAACTACTAGCAACAGTGAGATGTAAGTCATTTGTTAAGCAAAAAAAAAAAAAAAATCCAGTTGCTAAATTTTAACAATAGTATGACTACAACACACCAGAGAAAGCCTAGAGGGAAAGGCAATCAGTGGTTACCTGGGACATGGTATGGAGCTGGGGAGGGTCCCATCTCTCAGAGGTTCTAGAGTAAGAATGCTTATGTTTGAAGCTTGGTCCCACCACTGGAAGAGCAAGTTCTGGGGGCCTCCTTTTACTCTTTGAAATGAGGCTATTTAAGAGTATCCATCTCAGGGTTATTTTATGGATAAATGAAACAATATGAGTAAAGCATTTAAAATAGCACCTAGTATTCACAGTAACAGCTCAAATGTTAGTTACTATCACAGATGGAATCATTAAAGGTTTTTTTACAAGTATATTTGTGAAGTTCAAATCCCAGCTTCATTAATTTACTATCTATGTAGCTTCAGGAAATTACTTAACCTCTTTAAGCCTCAGTTTGCTTATTTGTAAAATGGACACCATAATGCTACTGTCCTGAGCTATGGTCCCCTTCTGCCAGTGGACATCCCAACCATGGCTGTTCACAATATGACACATAAAGCTGTCAATTCTCATTCAGTGTAACACTCAGGAAACCAAATTCTATAGAATTTAGGGTATAATGATATACACATTAAACTATCTAAAATACTGGAAATAATTAGTACTGTGATTACAATATGCTTTAGCATGGAACTAATAAATTACCTTGAGTTATAAAAATATTTACTTTGCAAGGCATGGTGGTGCACGCCTGTAATCCCAGCTATTCAGAAGGCTAAGACAAAAGGAAAAGATGATCACTAGTTCAAGGCCAGCCTGGGTAACTAAGAGCCTATCTCAACATAATTTTTTTTTAAACTGGGTGCAGTGGCGCACACCTGTAATCCCAGCAGCTCCAGAGGCTGAGACAGGAGGATCAGAAATTCAAAGCCAGCCTCAGCAACAGCAAGGTGCTAAGCAACTCAGTGAGACCCTGTCTCTAGATAAAATACAAAATAGGGCTGGGGATGTGGCTCAGTGGTCAAGTTTCCCAGAATTCAATCCCCGGTACCAAAAAAAAAGATCAGGGATGCAGTTTAGTGGCAGATTACTTGCCTAGTGTATGCAAGGTCTTGTGTTCAATCCCTAATACAAAAAAAAATTTTTTTTTAATTACTTTTTCCTAACATCTGTCTTACCTAGAAACAAGTGAAATCACTTTAAATTCTTTCAGTGAAAGCAGAGATCACAAACACCAAGATATTTCACTTTTTTATTTTCCATCAGTTGCAATTTTAGGGATACACTGTCAGTTCTAATTATTCTTCCCATAACAAAACATGTTCCTGCTTAACCAACTCTGGAAGAGAAACTGCAAACAGAAAACAAACTTTCCTAGACATACACAAGGAACCAAGAATTTTCTATTTCTGCCTTGTACACAGTAATCATAATGGCACTATACTTATTATTCTACCATAATATGTCTTCACATTTCAAACTGGATTATTCCTAAAATATTGGGTTATATTCAAGCAATAAAAACAAGAATAGTAAGTTCTAATGAATATTTTTGCATCTGCTTATTCCAAAACTAGTTAAAACACCAGTTTGTAATTCTTTTACCCATTCAACAAAGGCATGATTCTTTTAACTTGACTGAAGTTGCAAGTCAACACTTCACTGGAGAAAATGTATGAGATTACAGCAATAATTTCTGAAATGAAAAACTGCAAGTTCTCCTCTCTTCAACTTCTTTCAGTCCATCACTACTCGGCATGTTCCTGCTCTTGTCCTGGAATTAGCCACCGAATACTCTCAGTTCGAATGGTAGCATACATAATAAAACTAATTAAAAAGAATAAGGAAAATACGAGCAACCAGTCCACGCTTTTTATCAAAGTGCTGGGAAGAGGGCCTATTTGGTCAGCTTGAGTTACCACCACATTTTTCTTGGCTTCTATACCTGAAAGAAAAATCAATTGTTTCAAACCAGAGAGAAAACACATCCGCCACAGATTTTTTTGAAGTACGATGCATGGTATGCAAAATGACATGCAATCCTAAAATAAACACCACCACTATTATATCTGGGATGAATTTCACCTGCTTGTCAGTATAATTTGTAGCTTGCCTTTCTCCCCACCACATCAAAGGAACAGGAATCCATTCAACTATTCCAAGCTAAAATTCCAGAATTTCTGTGGACTCATCAGAGATTTCTTAGTCAATGCCTTGTAAGAGCTGCCTTTTGTTCTCCTGAGACCAAAGTTTAACAAGCTACTTATTTGCAGGAGTTCACAGAATGTTTTTTTCACGTGTTTAAGTAATGCTGAATTCAAAATGTTTTTAAATAAGTTACTGAAAAAATTGGTAGAACTAGCAACTATTAGGATTGGTAATCACCAAAGACACTAGGACTCCTAGATTTTGTGTGTTCTACATTTTCCTAGAGCAGTGAAGAAAATGGCTTCCTCTCCACACACCAGTCTGGGATCCAGTACTAGACCTGGATTCCTAACCACTTTGTGGCCCACTTGCACCCCTCCAATTAACTTAGCACTTTGCTCTTTAGTGTTAAGAGAAAAGTGATTGCATGCAACTCACTATATATGGGAAGTGTATTCTAATTTGAACTTATTTCCACTGAGTACACTTCAGAAAGAAGGGATACTCTTAGTTAAGACAGTAAGGCTTTTAAGTAGTTAGTTAAGTTTTACAATGGAGGAAATTTTCTTCAATTTAAATGCTCAAACTCTTACAAAGAGTAAAAAGTGAAGTTGTGTTTGTTTGGTTTGGTTTGATTGTTTGCAGTGCTGAGAATCAAACCCACGGTCCTGCACATGTTAGGAAAGTGCTCTTACACTGACCTGCACCCCCAGCCCTGGCCATATGTTTAAACATTAAGGAATTAAATTAAAGAATTAAAATAACATCTGCAAATGGATTAATAAATGAATGCCAACAAAACAAAAACAATGCAAACATATCTCATAAGCATAGTAGTTGGATGAAATAAGTCAGACATCCAAGAATATACAAAATACATCTCCACTAATACAAAACAGGTAACACTAGACTCTGGTATGGAGTCAAGACTGGCTATCTTTGCAGAGGGGCTACTTTGCTCATGTGTTTCTTATACTGAGTACGGGTTACCCAGGGTATAGATATCTTTTTACATACATTTTCAGTTGTATGTAATGTTGAAATTTCACTTTATAAAAATTCATCACTAATGATTTAGGTAATTCTGTGTAAATATTAAATAACTAAAAATGAATATAAAAAGGTGTCTATAGGTAAAGTGTATGATATGTGAATTATATTTTAATAAATCTTTTTTTTAAATGGTATCTATAATCATTAAATTACCTATTCATGTTAAGCTTGCACTGATGGAGAGGTATTTAACAAGATCACGAGTTCCTTAGAAAAGAACTTTAATTAATTAATTAATTAATTTTTAAATAAAATAATTTTGACACTTTAAAGTCAATCTAAGGATGGATTTAAGCAGATCAAAAGGTATACACTGCCAGGCACAGTGACGCATGCCTGTAATCCCAGTGGCTGGCAAGACTGAAACAGGAGGATTGTGAGTTCAAAGCCAGCCGCAGCAACTTGAAGACTAATAAGCAACTCAGTGAGACCCTGTGGGATGTGGTTCAGTGGCCCTGAGTTCAATCCCCAGTAACTCCCCAAAAAGAAAGGCATACACCCCCAGAAGTAAGATATCTTCTTCCCCAGCATATTATTTCTACATACCTGTCTGGTTAAAAATGAAGATTTTCAGTGTTTCCAGTGTTCGATCTGTATGATTGAATCTAGCCATTGGTTTAGCTCCTTGAAATAACAAAATGTTAGGAACAGCTACAGTGCCAAACCTGGTAGAAAGGCTGAGAGAAAGAAGTCAATTAGAAAACCTGAGTTAATTAACAGCAAGCTTTCTCATATCAGAATGGTTGAAATAAATGAGAAAGGATCAGTTTTGTGTGACCTGAGGAGATTTCCGATATTCAAATTTGAAGCTTTCAGTTTTTTCTTGACCTCTTTCCTTATGGGTCAGGATTGGGGGTATTCCTGAATTGCTTTCTATGACCATGTGGATCTACCCATGACCCAATTATTCCACTATTTAAGTTCCTAACTGTTAAACATCAGAACAGAAAATTCTAATTCACGGACAAAGCACACTGTATCAATTTATTTGACAGAAGAAATTTCAATTTCTTCAGAATGCCCATCTCCATCCCTAAAAAAAACAAAAACATCAACTTACAGAAAGCAATTGGTTTGGTAAATTGGTGCAAAGGAATATATAACGTAATGCACCGGGAAGTTCACAATTAGGGGAAGAGGGCTTGGAAGTAATCTGACCTGGGTAGGATTATTTCACCTCTACAAAATACAGACCAGTCTGGGTTCTAGTCTCAGGCCACTGAACCAGGTGTGACCTATGGGCAGATATATTTAACCTCCCTAAACCTCAGCTTCCCCCATTAGTGAAACAATAATATTAGATAATCAAAATATTCTTCTCATCAAGTAACATGCTATTTGCATATTAATATATGAGATTCCTATGTTATGATTTAGATCTTTTTTTTTTTTAATGGTATTGGGGATTGAACTCAGGGGCACTTGACCACCGAGTCACAACCCAGCCCTATTTTGTATTTTATTTAGAGACAGGGTCTCACTGAGTTGCTGAGGGCCTTGCTTTTGCTAAAAGGCTGGTTTTGAACTCATGATCCTCCTGCTTCAGCCTCCTGAGCCACTGGGATTATAGGCATGCGCCACCTCACCTGCCGCCTATGATTTAGATCTTAAACGTCCCCAAAAACTCATGTGTTGAAGGCTTTGTACCCAGTGCAGTAGTGTTCAGAGGTGGGGGCTTTGGGAAGTAACTGGATCATAAGGTCTGACTTCATTAAATAATTGATCCATTTATGGGTTCACAGCTTAATGTGTTTGGGGTGAGGCTTGTGACTACAAGCAAGCTCCATCTACTTCCTGGCCACCAAGAGCTGAGCAGCTTTCCTCCACCAGGTGCTTCTGCTATGATGCCTTAGCACACCGGCAGGGCCTGAACTGACCAGGGGCTGAAGCCTTGGGAACCATGAAACAAAATAAATTTCTATTTCTTTTATTCCTTTATTCTTTTTCCATAAAAGTTTCATGTAAACATTAGCAGTTATAGACCAACACTGAAAAATATCAGTAGAGTACAAATTAATAAAGCCTTTACCATCACCTTGACCAGGTTCCCAACATTCTAGACTGATTCACACACATTGTCTTGTGACCTAGTAAGGAACATCTGATTTAGAAGAAGTGGGAACACAGTTTATAAACTGGCCATGATCACAGCACTTAGGGTAAATGCAAAATATCTGAATAAATTCTCTAACTTGTTTTATTAGACATTTTAAAAAGATGAGCCAAGGGTGGTGGCACATGCCTATAATCCCAGCTACTTGGGAAGCTGAAGCAGGAGGATCAAGGTCAGCCTGGGCAATGTAGCAAGACCCAATTTACCCTCCCTCCCAAAAAAGATAAAAACTGAGTGGGCAATATAACAGAAACATAAAACAAAGGTAAATGTTACTTTGATGGATTAAATTAATTCATTACTTTATTGAATATTTACTGTGAAACTTGCATGCAAAGAGTAGATGTAAGAGCTGGGTGCGGTGGTGCACACCTGTAATCCCAGCAGCTCAGGAGGCTGAGGCAGGAGGATCACAAGTTCAAAGCCAGCCTCAGCAATGGCGAGGCACTAAGCCACTAGTGAGACCCTGTCTCTAAATAAAATACAAAATAGTGCTGCGGATGTGGCTCAGTAGTTGAGTGACCCTGAGTTCAATCCCTGGTACTCAGAAAAAAAGAGTATATGTAAGAAGGAGGAAGGAAAGACAAGAGAAAATACAAGGGAAGGAAGAATGTCAAAGTAAACATAGAACAAGGGTCCTAAGAGTTAGGCTGCCAGGGATGGGGACTTAATCTGCAGGTTAAAGTCACAAGAGACTTCATACTATGACACCAGTTGCACTAACTGGACTCTGGCCAGGACCCTCCAAAGTCCTTTGGACTTTATTCTGCCAAAATGGGACACCTTTAAATCCACCACACAGAGACCAAGCCTCTTTTGTTAAGGGTCTTCCAAAAAATGATGCCACTGGCTTTCTCAGAAGTTTGACACTCTTGCACTAATTCACTTTTTTTTTGGACACAGGATCTCCCTGTGCTGCTCATGCTACTCTCAAATTCCTGGGCTCAAGTGATTCTCCCACCTTAGCCTCCTGAGTAGCTGCGACTACAGGCATGTGCCATGGCACCTGGCTCACACACCTCAGTCTTGCCTTTCCCTTCCTTCCATCATCGCATAGTTCTACCTCCTCCTCCTCCACTTCTAACTTATCTAACTGCAGCCTCCACAAAACCGCACCATCAGCCAAAAGGATGAGCCATAAACCCCGCCATGGGAAGATACCTGCTGTGCTGAGATGCATCCAGTGCCAAAAAGTGAAGAGCTGGAAACGCCCGGGGCAGAGAATTAAAATGAGGGGCCAAGCTGGCAGAAAACCGGCACCATGGAGTGTAGAACAGTACCAGGGTACAGTCACTACCATTCGGGTTTAGAAAATCCATAAGGTCCTGTGGTGAAAGAAACAGCACTGACGTCAGCAATAAAGTACATACACGTGCTTCTGGCCGGACACCCAAGAAAGAGAAACGCCTGCTGCCTCCAGAGAGAGGAACTGCAGCTGGAGGCAGGGAGAGCTGGGCAACTTCCTCAGGAACCTTTGGGATTCAAACCACATGGATCCAGGAATTAGTAGAAAAGCAGTACCAAATGACTGGTATGTATTTTCCTCTAAGGTTTTCGAATATGACTAGAGAGCTGTTTAGTATTTTTCATAATTCATTACTTCAAATGCAAATACTCACAGGGTACTGGTCACTGCCCATGCCTTTGAATTGTGCATCTCAAATACTATGATTTAAATCCCAAAGGCCCATGGTGCCACTGAGAGGTGGTGAAGCCTGAACAGGATAGACCTACTGGAAGGTCTGAGGCATTTCGGGTGTGTACTTGAAAAGGATTTGGGGACCTTGGTTTCTTCACACTCTCTCTTCCTTTCTAGCCTCCATGAGAAGAGGGCTTCTTCTGCCACACACTCCCAACATGGTGTACTGCTTCACCACAGGCCCAACAGTGACAGGGTCAACTGACCATGATCTGAAACCTACAAAACTGTGAGCTCAAACAAACCTTTCCTCTTTTTAAGTTGATTATCTAAGGTATTTTGTTAGAGTAACAGAAAACTGACTAACACATCCATCAAACAATCTCAAATGATATTTGGGTCTGATACTATGATATCAGACCCAAACTATCACTTTAGTAGAGCTAAGTCTATACCAAGCAACTGGATCAATGCATGAGGCTAAAGGTTACCTAAAGTCAAGGGTGCACTGTCCTTACCACCAGCTATTTAAACTATAACTCAGACTATCCTGGTTATGTATGTGACTCAGTAAAACAATACTGCAGGACTAAGGCAAAATGTTTACCACATTCAGGAGGGGATGTGAGACCCCAGGCTGACCCTTGTTCCTAGAGAAGCTACATGCACTAACTGTATCATGCCCTCCCTGACAAGAAACAATCACAGCTTTCAGAGCTGGGATTTATTTTTCTCATACAAGCAGCCTGACTTCATCCTGCTCTTCTGGCTTCTCAACTATAGAAATTGTCAGTCATTGTCCCAGAATTCCCTTTGGAATCATCATTTATCCAACTAGCTGGAAAAGTACAGCTGGGTTTAGGACAACAGTCTCAGCTCTCGCTCCAGAACAAACTGGTCCACATTCTTTAGAGGAAAGAAAATGACAATCAATGTGACATAACTTCAAGGAATTATAAATACTTCTCATCTAAATACTGCTAAATTCTAATTTAGTTCAATTTTGTTTTGTTTTGTTTTTTGAGACAGTGTTTCACTACTTTGCCCAGGTCAGTCTTGAACTGTGGGCTCAAGCCAGCCTCAGGAGTAGCTGGGACTGCAGGCACAAGCCACTGACCAGTTGTAACTCAGGTATTTTATGTTGCCTCTGTAATAAATACTTCGTTTGAAAGCAGGGCAAGTGTTCTACCACTGAGCTATATCCCCAGCCCTGGAAGTCAAATGCTATGATTCTGATGCTAACCACTATCTATCCACTATCTATCTACTAACTATCTATCCATAGGGTTTTTATCATAGGGCACGATGGTGAGATTACCCAAGAATGACTAGATTTTGGCCACCTAAAAAGCATAATTGAGCCAAAGTGGTGCACACCTGTAATCCCAACAATTTGAGAGGCTGAAGCAAGAGGATAGAAAGTTCAAAGCCAACCTCAGCAACTTAGTGAGACCCTGTCTCAAAAGAAAAAAATTTTTAAAAAGGGCTAGGGATCTGGCTCAGTGGTAAAGCACCCCTGGGTTCAATACCCAGTACCAAAATAAAACATAATTAAATTGTGAGCTCAAAACTGTGAGCTCATTAATTCTTTTTTTTTTTTTTTTTTTGAGAGAGAGAGAGAGAGAATTTCAATATTTATTTTTCAGTTTTCGGTGGACACAACATCTTTATTTGTATGTGGTGCTTAGGATCAAACCCAGGCCGCACGCATGCCAGGCGAGCATGCTACTGCTTGAGCCACATCCCCAGCCCAAGGTCATTAATTCTATTTCCTCCTTTTCCTATAAACTTCACCAGAAGCAAAGTCAACTTCCACTAACAGGGCCACTCAGTGTTACCCCCCACTTCGAACATGATAAAGATGGTGGCCCTCCCTGTGAGAGCTGGTAGAGTATTCATCATGTGCTGAAAGGAGAAAAGTGCTAAATGGTTTTTTCTTACCTGGGACATATTTAAAATTTTCAGAGTGAAATTCTCCAACCCTGTCACATTCCTCTCCTCACAGTTCACCTTTGGGGATTTGAGGCTCTCGGTGTTATTGGCATCCTCTGCAGGGGCAGGATCAGGTTCCACCACCTCGGGCTCCGCATAGTACTCCTCTTCTCTTTCAGGGAAGCTTGTCCCACCTCTGTCCAGAGAGAAGAGGCTGTCTTGGGCACTGCACCTTGAGTCTTCCTCTCCATCAGCACCACAGGTGCCACCACTGGGCTCCGAGCTCCGTCTGTCCTCAGCTTCCCCAGGAATCACAGACAGCACCACCATGGGATCTCGGTTAGCGTCCAGCCCCAGCCCAGCACCGGCCTCCTCCGCAGCCCTGTCCCGGCCTATGCGGTCATGTGGGGGCTCCTCCTCGCTCAGGTACACAGCCCCTGCCTGGAGATGGGAAGCCGGCTGCCCCTCTGACCATATGTGATCATTTTTCTCTGCAACTAAAACATGCCAGCATGTTCAGTGATACTCAACTCAAAAGTAAATGAACTCTTCAAAAAATGAAATTTTCGCCTGTGGAGAAAAAGTTATGCTTCCCATCAGACTATCAGAGGGCTATCACCATTCTCCTTTTCAGGAAGATTGTCACCAATCTAGATTAATGGATACCAAATAAGTAGACAAATACATAGGTTCACCTGGAACCCACTGCCTGCCATGTGGGTTATAACCAAAACATTCTGGTGCAGACATCCGATCAGGAAAATATGATATAAACACTTCAACATTTTCGTTTGCTTGATGAGAATACTTAATAAAATAATTGTTGTTGCTGTTGTTTGGGTTTTTTTTTTTTTTTTTTTGCGGGGAGCGGGGGGTGCTGTAAACAGGGATTGAACCCAGGGGTGCTTAACCACTGAGCCACATTCCCAGCCCTTTTTTATACTTTTATTCAAAGACAGGGTCTCACTAAGTTGCGTAGGGCCTCAATAAATTGCCGAGGCTGACTTTGAATTTACAATCCCCCTGCCTCATCCCAAGTGGCTGAGATTACAAGTGTGCACCACCCAGCAGAAAATAATAGTTTTACACAAGACCCTACTAGGTCAAAGCATCTATGCACACTTGGAACAGCGCTATGAGATGTGCCAGATGGGGTGATCAAGCCCACATAATAGATGACCAAGATAAGGCACAGAGAAACTCAGTGCAATGCCTGATGGCACACAGCTAGTGAGTGACAGAGCCAGTTCTAAGGACAAAGGCTTCTGGTTGCTACTCCAGAATGGGCCTAACTCGCCCCACAATGAATCCTCGGAGGATGCCAGGCCATTCTGCCTAAGGAACACTACTCAAGCCACAAAGCATCTCCTTCCTAGAATGACCTTGACAGCTGGACTCTGCTGTCCTACCCGCCAACCTTGAGCTGCTGTTCTTGGAATGCTAAGAGATGGGCCCAGCAGTGCAACCACTGCAGCAGGAAGGAGAGGAGGACTTTCCTCCCATTTTGGAGCCAGAAGGTGGGTCCTGGGCTAAATATTCAGAAAAGGGAAGAGTCCCGGGCAATCCTGGTGCCCATTTAGCCATAGACCTCTGTAGATGACTCCAACTCAATTCAATGCCAGACACCAGACACTGACCAGTGGAAACAAATGACGCTGGCTGCCCTCAGAAAAGCTCACCATGTGGCTTGGGAACTACCAGTGAATTGTGTCACTGGAGTGAGAATGAGGGGAAAAATCGTTTGTGTGTGTAGGTGTGTGTGTGTGTGTATAAAAATCATATGATAACATAATATATAGTATATATAAAATGAATGAGTCGGGAGTGGTGGCACATACCTGTAATCCCAGCAGCTTGGGAGGCTGAGGCAGGACGACTGCAAATTCAAAGCCAACTTCAGCAATTTAGAGAAGCCCTGAACAACTTAGTGAAACCCTGTCTCAAAATTAAAAATTAAACAGCTGGGGATGTGGCTCAGTGGTTAAGCAACTCTGGGTTCAATCCTTGGTACCAAAAATCAAACAAACAAAAAAAATGAATGAATGAAAAATATTTTTTAAAAGTGGGGCTGAGGATGTAGCTCAGTGGTAGAGTACTGTCTAGCATGCATTGGACCCTGGGTTCAATGCTCAGCAAAAAAAGAAAGACCTCAAAACTCTTCTACTTGATAAAAACTATAAATCCTTACATCCAAGAATCTCAACAAACTACACTAAGGCACATCAAAATCAAATTGTTCAAAATCAGTAACAAAAAGAAAATCTTAAAAGTGGCCAGAAAAAAAAAAAAAAAGATATATGAAGGAGAAAGGAACAAAGACACAGATGACAGTGGATTTCTCATTGGAAATAATGTAAGCAAGAGCAGAATTTTAAAGTACTGAAGGAAAAAAAAAACACACACACACACACACACAAATCTTGAATACCCATCAAAAATATCTTACAAAAAACAAAGTTTTTTTTTTTTTTTTTTTTTAAAGCCCTGCAGGGACTGGGGTTGTGGCTCAGCAGTACAGGGCTCGCCTAGCACATTTGGGGCACTGGGTTTGACCCTCAGCAGCACATAAAAATAAAATAAAGATATTGTATCCAACTACAACTAAAACAAAATATTTTATAAATAAATAAATAAACCCTGCAGCGGTGCACAACTGTAATCCCAGCTACTCAGGATGCTGAGGCAGAATTACCTGAGTCCAAAGTTCAGGACTAGTCTAGGCAACAAAAGAAGACCCCCTCCCTAAAAAAAAAAAAAAAAAAAAAATCCAAAAGCTGAGATAGGGACTCAGTGGTAGTATGCCTAGCATGTATAAGGCCCTGGGTTCAACCCCCAGCACTGAAGAGAAGGAGAAAATAATAATAATCATTATTATTATTATTATTATTATTATTCACTGCCATAGACTCACACACAAAAATCTTAAAGGGACTACTTCAGGCAGAAGAAAATGAATACCAAATGTAAATAAAGATCCACACATAAAAGAATAAAGAATGGCAGAGTGGGAACTACATGGATAAATGCCCACAATTCTTTCTAAAATTCTTGTTATGAAGGGGACAAGGAAGACGAGGTAGTTTTTATATATATATAAAACCAAAGAACTAAGAGAGGTTTTTATTTGTGTTTTTAGGACATAGGAACAATTTGAGGATATATAACACCAATGGAAAAAGAGGCAGGGAGGGACAGGCGACAATGTTAGGCAGCAAGTGAGTCTGGTCAAGCACTTCTGTGACTACAACAGAGAGAAGGGCCAGGGTGCCCAGGCAAGGAGCTTTGGCAGTTTGGTGGGGAACAGGATCACACTGGTGCTCCATCTATAGCCTTTGGTTGATGAGCATAAACAAGTTTGCTGAGCAGGAAAAGAAACCAGAGAGTTAGAGAAGAAAGAAAGTGCCAGGTTTGGGGGTCAACCCTATACCAAAACACCCCAGCTCCATGGAGATCTGCCCTTACTAACCTAGTCAACATTCTAGATCCCAAAAGGAAATAGAGAATGATAAAACATTGAATCTCCAGAAGAAAAATCTCAGGGTACATTTTTTTCTTTTGTTTTTGGTACTGGGGATTGAACCTAGGGGCACAACCCCAGCCCTTTTTTTTAATTATTATTATTTTTATTTTGAGACAAGGTCTTGCTAAATTTCTATGCCTTGTTAAATTGCTGAGGCTGGCCTTGAACTTGCAATCCTCCTGCCTCAGCCTCCCCAAACACTGGGATTACAGACAGGTGTGTGCCACCACACCTGACTCAGGAGACAATTTAGCCTCCAGGTAAAATTCCAACATGCCTATAATCCCAATATCCTGGGAAACTGAGGTAGAAGGATGGTAAGTTTAAGGCCAGCCTGGGCAACTTAGCAAGACTCTACTTCAAGATAAAAGAAAAAATTTTTTAAATTTCTTTTTAAAAGGGCTGGGGATGTTTTTAGTACCACAAAAAACAACAACAATAAAAAACTTGTACACTGTGCCAACAGGGACAATTTAGAATCCAGATCTTTCTGATCATCCTCAGATAGATGTTCCCAGCAGAAAACCAACAGAGAATCTCGGTGATGCCCAGAGTTGGTATTTTGAGTTCAGGAATACAACCCCTTTCCCCCATGAAGATATATGTGTACATAGTACAAATTAGGAACAACAGCAATCTTACATTGTCATTTAGCTATTAGGAAGAAAAGAAACAATGACGGATGAGTGCAGCAGCCCACATCTATAATCCCAACTACTTCAGAAGCTGAAGCACGAGGATCCAAAGTTCAAGGCCAAGACCAACCTGGGCAACTTAACAAGACCCTGTCTCAAAATTTTAAAAACAGGCCCCACATGACATGGCTCTGTCTGTACTCCCAGTCCCTGTTTTGTCTGGTTCATCACTGAACCCTCAGGGCCCAACTATGTCTGGCAGTAAGAATCTGCTGGCTGACTGCCTAGTGACAACTGGTGGCAGGGGTCTTGAGATCCTTAGGCACCTTGGCAGCACTGCCGCTCCAGATGCTAATCTGCCAGTGGTGCTCTCTACAAAGAAAGGCCTTAGATTTTCAGCCACTCTGGGAAGGAACCAGCTGGTGAAGTTTCCTTGTTCTCACTCTACTCATGAGCAGTCCACGATGACCAGTGGTCCACCCCATGGCTGGTATCATCCTCAGGATCTGCATGAATGTGACCCCGACTACAAGATGGGCTCACATTGACTCCAACAACAAGTCAGTCCCCTGAGTTAGCCGAGGATTCTGCCAGGAAACAACACATTTAACTTGGGCAATTGAAGAACTGAATAAGGGGGCTGGGGTTGTGGCTCAGTGGTAGAGCGCTGCCTAGCACATATGAGGCACTGGGTTCGATTCTCAGCACCACATAAAATAAACAAATAAATAAATAAAATAAAGATATTCTGTCCAATTACAACTAAAAAAAAATATATCAAAAAAAAAAAAAAAACCAAAGAAAAATGAACTGAATAAGGGACCACCAATATGTGGGCTCAGTAGAGAGACTAAAGAACTCCAAGGCCAGGAACAGCGGAGGGGAAGGCAATCACTGACTTTACCGGTCCAGAGGCAAAAGCAGTTACAGAACCTGGAAGAACACATGCAGCTCAGAGAAGGCAGCTTTCTAACACGGTGGCCTTTCAGTCAGGGGACACAGCCGGCCTGGGCTAACCCCTGAGGGAGACAGCTAAGAAAATCAACATACTGACCTCACTTTCCCCCACCCCCTCCAACCCAAAGGCAAGAGACCAGCTGTTTTTCTACACATGCCTTCATACCTCTGAGGCTAGTGGCTAAGTGTACTGGGAATACAGAGATTTGGCTGTGAGGTCAGGCAGACATGGGCTTGCCTCATGTGACTCCTTAATTTTTGACTATATGACCTTAGCAAAGGACTTACAGGCTCTTGAGTCTCCGTTTACTCATCTATAAAATGGGAACAATAACATCTACTGAATAATATTTAAAGATTAAATAACTCTTTGCACTAAGCACAGTACCTGACACACAATGAGTGCTTTCATTAATGGTAACGGTGTGACTGTACCTCTCCCTTCCCCTAGCTCAGCAACAGTCAGCTGCCCTGCCTCTGTTTTTATTAAGGTGTGAATGAAAAGCAAGGCCAAAGGTTCTGGACTGTGAGGAGGCGGGCAGAAGAGCAATAAGACAAAAGCCTCCATTACCCACTCTAGCTATCGTCCAGGGTGACTGCCTTCCCCCACTTAAAGGAGTCCCTGCAAGCCTGGCTTTGGTGGTCTCCAGTAGTTTTTCTAGTCTGTCCTTTATGGAGGCACCTGAGGCTTCCCTAGAAAGTGGTCCAGCAGAATGAACTCCAGCGTGGGCTTTGAAGTTGGAGACAGGTTCTGTCTGCAGAGATGCAAACTTGGGCAGATTGCTTGGCCTCTTTCATCTCAACTGTAAAATGGAGATGTTAATGAAACCATGTCGTAAGGTTGGTGGGAGGACTAAATGGGATAAAGGTGCACAGCACTAGGCACGGTTCCTGGCTTCTAAGAAAGGCCTTAATAAACGTCGGCTATTGGTTATGATGATGGTTATGAATAATAAAGAGCTCATAGCAAGAGGGTACACCTCGATAAGCGTTTAATACACAATTCCTCCTGACGGGGTCACTGCCCCTGCCCCGGACCACTGACCGGCAGGGAGCCGGGGGAACCAGGTCCGGAGCAGCGCACAGCAGGGCGGGCATCGCGGGCCTTGGCGCAGGTAAAGAGCGCCTCCCGGGCACACCTCCTTCTCGCCCCGCTTTTACACACCACCGCCTGCCGCCCTGGTCACTGTCCCGGCCCGAACTCACCCTCCAGGCCGCGGGCCGGAAGCCCCAACAGCCACAGCAATACCTGCCACCAGCCGAGGAGCCGCATAGTGCGGGGCGGTGGGCGGCCGTGACCACCCCTGCCGAAGGGCAACCGGCGCACCGCGACGCGAGTCACGCTAGCGCGGGAGGAAGCCTGGGGGAGAAGAGCCGGGATCGCGGGCGCGGCCCCGCGCCGCCATCTTGGCGTCTGGCGGCTGCCGCGGGCGCCATCTTGGAGTCGGGCGGACAGCTTCTGGCCGCTGATCTATGACTGGCATTTCAGGCCCAGCCCCAGATGTCGCAGGTCTTTTTCAACTCTCCTGACCCCCAAGTCCAGAGGAGGGCTCCAGCAGAGGTCCGTGGCTCCCATTCGTTGCGTGCAAGTCAGCACCTGTGTGGGCAGCAGGCACTTCTCCTGCCCGAGGAGACTCCACCCTGCGTTTCCAAAGACAGGCCCAGAAGTCGCCTTCAGGCACCTGGTGGAGAGGCAGAACCTTTGGAAGGTGCAGATCTTCAGATCTCTTACTTTACACGCTACTCTAGCAAGGGTTGCCAAGTAGAATCAGGATAAACCCAGTGAAATTAGAATTTCACATTAACTTAGAAATGTCTAAAGGACAATTCTTATAACTGAATATGCTACATTTGTGGTCTTAGCCGTACCTGTCTACTCAAGGTAGGAGTCTTTTGTTGGTTCGTTTTAACTAAGGTAGGGTCTCAGAAAACAATCCCCCAAAGTATGGCACTGTGGCATGCTGAGTCTTTTGAACTAAGAGACATTGGAAGGCCTCTTCAGAAGCAGCCTCAGAACCAAGGTCTCTCCCTTACCCCCAAGCAAGCCATAGAAATGTTGACTAACAGCCCAGGGGGCTTTTACTCCAAGAGAGAAGTTACAAAGAGGCAAATCATTCCAAAACAATGAGGCTTTATTAGGGCTTGCGGATAGGGTTCCTGGACCCGCTTTTAAAAGAGATATCAGGCAAAGTTTTTATGGGTTGGTGGTTGTGTGTGCAGGCCACACTACTGTTGTTGCCTACAGTTCAGGATTTCAACACACATTTCATCAGATCTTTGCTCTAGGCACCTTGGACCGGGTCTATACTCTGCATGGTGATTGGTTATTGGCTCATGCATGTTGGGTCTGCTCATCTGGAAGATAGCAAAGGCTCATTACTGCCATCCCAGGAAGGTCATACAACAGATGATATAGCTGTCCAGAGGCTGCTGGAAAACCCCTTTACAAGCTTTAAAGAAGGCAGGTAGTGTAAACTCAGCCAAATTAGCTTCTGGAAAACAGAAAACATGGTTGGGAACTCGACAGTTTCTTATTCTCATTCCCCCTGAGAAATTTTATTCTCCTTAATCTTAAGGAGTCATGAACAAAAGTCTTTCTTGCTGACTGAGGACATCCAACCTCTGTTAACTGGAGGTGTAAAAATCTCTTGCTGACTATACTAATGACAAATAAAGTCCCAATTCCTCTTTTGAAGGTATTTGTTGAAAACCTTACATAACCTTCAGTTTGACCTGAAGCTGCTGTAACCTCAAGGAAATAAATTTAACCACGAGGTTTATAACGTAAGGACCAAACAAAGAACATTAACAGTAAGATAATTAACAGAGGTCCAAGAAAGGGTAGAGACCATGTTATTATGCCAGGTAAAGCATCCCTTACAGCTTTCCTGTAAACCCACTGGGTCTGATCACATATCCTTTTAATGTTTACCTCAACTTGTCCTAAGTACAAGTACTTATCAAAATGCAGCAGAAAGTACTAGTGACAGGACATGCCACCCTGTTCTACCAGGAGATAATCTAGTGCTAGACTGTTGTCAAGAGCCAAATTTGCTAAGAAATTAAGGAAACTTTAAGTCCTGTAATAGTCTCATGGGTATTTGGGTGATTATTTCAATTGTGGTTAGATTGTGCAGGGTAGTTTCACGATTGGCCAACCCTCCCCATGGTGCATCCATACCTACTGTGGCCCTTTTGCCTGCAAAGATAAGGCTTATAGCCTTCTTATTACAGTATAAAAGAAGTGGGGTTTGGGTAAAATATGGAGATTTCTGAGGGAGCAAGAAATCCCAGAGTGTAATCACTTTTGAGCCACAGGTCATCAGTATAATCATAGGCTAGAGTCTCATCAAGGAAGGAGGTGGTAGAGTTTGTGGCCAGGTGGGTATTTGCAGGGAGGCTGCATAGCCAGACTTTGCCATGGGGTGCACGACTAGAAAGAACAGTTGAATTATTCCTGGCCTCTAGGTCTCTGTGTACCCATGATACTGAGGGAAGAGAGCATGGCCTTGTTAATGGGCCATGAACTTCCACAAGGATATTCTTGTTCAGCCAAAGAGCTTTGGAAATGATTCAGTAAGTAAATGTCTCCAAGCAATGTGTGTCACTGTATAGTTCTGAATTTTGCTCCTTGTCAGGGAGTCTTAATGCAGGGGCTTGGACAAGCTTTCTTTTGAGGACTTCGATGCCTGCTAGTAATCTTCATCTCAGCATAGGGTCTGCCACGTGACCAGCGCGAGCTTCATAAAAGAAGGTTCGATGCATAAAAATTGCTAGTGAGTTTTAAATTAAAGAGACAGACTCTCATTTACCTTTATTCCCAGCTCCGAGACGGCTTCTTCTAGCTCCCGCCTCCAGCCACCTAATGCGGTGGTGAGGTTTACAGAAGAGACTGGCAAGAGAGAGAGCGCACGCCAGGGAGTGAGCTTTTATTGGGGAACAAAAAATTCAAGGGAAAGTCCCATCCAATGAAGGTTAAGGGAGGCAGCATCCCAAGGTCAGGGCCAGCGATTGGGTCTTCAGGTCAGTGGCCAGGCACGCCTCTGCACGGACAAGCCCTCGTACCTGGGACAGGGTGTGGGATGGCTTTAACACCGCTGTATCCAAGCACCTCTCACCCAGCCAGGGAGGTAACTGAAATCACGTGCGAGGATGGCCTCCCACAAGAGGGGTTCCCTATTATCACTCCACCCCACCAGCCTTTTCTCTTTTTCTTTTTCTTTTTTTTTCCCACAAGACTAGGGATTGAACCAGAGGTACTTTACCACTAAGCTACATCCCCAGCCCACTTTACTTTTTATTTTGTGCCCACTAAGCTGCCCAGGCTGGCATCAAATTTGTAATCCTCCTGCCTCAGTCCCCCAATTAGCTGGGATTACAGGCTTGTGCCACTGTACCTGATACTGTGAGATATAAATAGATAGATAGATTAGATAGATAGATTTATTTTAGTTATAGATGGACACAATTTTATTTATTTTTTAATGTGGTGCCGAGAATGGAACCCAGTTCCTCTCACATGCTTAGCAAGTGCTCTACCACTGAGCTACTACCCCAGCCCTGTTACTGTGATTCTTAATGGAGGAGAATATAAATGAAAGCATCTTTTAGATCTAGGACTATCAAGTATTGGGCATTCTAAAAGGCCTAGGTGAGCTGGGTATAAATTTTTTTTTTTAAGGTGTGCACTTTTATTGAACTGGTCTCAAGTCAGTGTACAGGTAAGCCCTGGCTGCCTCCACACTTTAGCCCACTCCCAGGGAGACCAAAAGCCTTCATACATCTCATGTTGGGGGACAAAAAGGGGGGCCACGATGGCTGACCATTCAAAATAAAACAAAATAAAAAAGTATTAAGGCGAAGATTAAAAAATTTGCATTACATAATTTACACAAAAACAATGCTGTCACCTCCCCTGTATGGACTCGTGTGAGGGTATAAAATGTAAGGACTATATGGTGATGTCTGCTTCTTTAATCATAGAGGTGAGAAACAAATCAATATTTCCCTACAAGCTTTTTTTTTTTTTTTTTTTTTAACAAAATAGAGTATTGCCAGAAGATCAGAAGGCCTGATGAGCCCGTGTTTAAGAACCTCTGCAACAGTTGTTGGATTCTTTTAGAACTTCAGGTTCGAGAGGGTATGGCCTTTTCCAAGAATGGTCTGTTCCAGGTTTCAGTTGTATCTAAACCGAGTCTTTATTTACAGCATATCTGTAAAGTCAGTGTTCCAAACTGAGGCCTGCATTGAGTCTTTATGTTGTCAGGAAGGTGCTGGAGTTTAGAACTGGGGCTGTCAAGGAGGACTGGTAGATGAATTCCTTATCCTGGTTCTGCAGCAACCTGTTATCTATTCTTCCTTTAGGAAAATAGAAGCACCCAGTTTACTAAGAAGATCCTTCCCTAACAGGGGTATAGGGCATTCTGAAACATACAGGAAGGACTGGGCAATGGCTGCAGACCCAACTTCACAACTGAGGGGAAAAGTAAAACTTCTCATCTTAAGCTGCCCCTCTATAGTCATCATCATGCAAGCCGACATTGGAAGAGGGCCAACAGCTTGCATCAGGACATTGGTAGTTCTTGTGTCCAATAAAAAATTATTACCCTCCAATCATGTCAGGGATTACCCAAAGCTCTACTGATGTGGTGGTGCTGTTTCTTGGGCACAGTGGAACATGAAGGATCCTCAGGTGTGGGGGAGCCGCCCATGAGCTATATTAGCATCCTCTCTCAGCCTTGAGCCAAGGGGGCGTTGGTCTGGCATTGCATGCTGTCTGGCTGCCTGAAGCAGGTGGCCTTCACCTTCACTCTGCTAGCAAAGAAGTCTGCTCTCTCATAGCTCTGCACCTGGGTGTTTCCCACTGGGGCTAGGTCAGCCTTGTTTGGTGAAGAATATTCTATCGAAACTCCTTTTTAATTTCCCTGTAAATAAAGATATTCCAGGTGCACCCTCTGTCTTTCCAGCGTGGTAGCTGACCCTTAATGTCACAGAGCCATCCTGCCCTGGATTTAAAAACTACTCTCTATATTGTGTGATTTTTCACCACTTTCTTAGCTTAACGTTGCAGCCAGCTCTTTTAAACCCAGTTCGTTTCGTCTGTGCAGTTTACTAAGAAGATCCTTCCCTAACAGGGGTATAGGACATTCTGAAACGTACAGGAAGGACTGGGCAATGGCTGCAGACCCAACTTCACAACTGAGGGGAAAAGTAAAACTTCTCATCTTAAGCTGCCCATCTATAACCATCATCATGCAAGCCAACATTGGAAGAGGGCAGGACTCAGGCCTCTTCAATCCAAGTGCCAATTTTCCCACTTGGGGGACCATGCTTGGACATGGGCTGCTGCCCAGCTGGCCTTCTCGGGGATGTTGAGGACAAATCCTCTTCAAGTGCCCTTCCTTTTGTCAGTATG